GTAGAAGATTTTAAATAATAAATACGTACTTACTGTGTAAAGGAAGTTACTATCTGTGTTTATCGCAATACCTAAAAAACCCAATGAATGAAATGTGAAGAATATAGAACCAGTATCCAGAATCAGTATGAAAAAATGGCCTCTGAAATATGGGTATATCGTAGAATAATATGCGTACCCTGAACAGCACACCGTACAAGTATTTTAATATGAATAGACCAGTGGCGCACCTAGAATTTTCCTGTGGGGGGTTTTGGTTGGTCACCGAATTTTTTTATACTACCTCCATTTTGAGTCCTTAAAATTTGTGAGTAACAGTGCCGGAATAGTGCTCTGGGGAAGTTTAACCTTTCACCCCTGGGTGCGCCACTGGAACAGACTTCGACATTAACACTAGGCTTGCCACACACATAAAATATTTGAGATATTTTAGACACATAGCCAGAAGAAAGGAAGATATGTAGAGATTAGTGGTTGAAGGCAAAGTACATTATAAAATAACTCGAGGAAAATCGACACTCTGATGGTCAGACCAAATAAAGGTCACCACCGGTTACTCTCTGAAGCAACATACCAAGCCCAGTAGAGAGAAGAATGGATAGAAACCATACGTCACCACATCCTTACGCAGTATAAAGGATGGAGGGGGAGGAGGAGCTTTGCGATGTGGCGTTATCGAAGAATGTGGAAAATATGTAACAAACACGGAAACCTTAAGAAAGATGAAAAAAGAAAAAAAAACTACTCAACACCTTGAAGGAAAGAAAATTGAGCTACCTTGGTCACATACTAAGAAATGAAAAATATGAGTTGATGCGATTGGTTGTGCAAGAGAAGGTAGAAGGAAAAAGGGAGCCGGGGAAACGGCGCAGGTTCTGGTTGAAAATTTTAAAGCAGTGGAGTAGAAAAACAATAATAGAACTCTTCAGAACTGCTGCGGAGTAAATTAGGTGATGAGGAACAATAAGAAGAAGATATGTAAAAAATGATATGTGTACAACTAATATTGTACAAACCAGAAGACTGGGTACACCAGTAGAACGCATTGTCTTATCAAACGTATGTCCCACAATTCCCCCGAGTGTGTTAGTGGTTTATTGACAAAAAATTTTGCTTAAGCTTGTCTCCCCAGTCAATTTTCTAAACGTCAGTACCACTCTTTCAGAAGATAATCATATATTATCATATATTGAATTTCAGAAGACAAAAATCATTGGTTTGACGATGAATGCAAGAATGCAACAAAAGAAAAAAATGAAGCCTGCAGAAAGATGCTTACCCGACGAACTAGAACAACTGTAGTGAATTACCAGGCAAATAGAAGAGAAGAAAAAAAAATACACGAAAGAAAAAAAAACAAAAACCTTTTAAATAAGGAACTTATATATACAGAAAACCTCAACAGAAAGAAAGAATTCAGAGCATTCTATAAGGAAGTTAACATAAACAGAATAGAATTCAAGGCAACCACAAGACAATGCAGAAGCCAAAATGACGACCTATTAACAACAAGGAAAGTTGTATTGAATAGATGGGTGGAGTATTTTAACCAGGCACTTACTATAGAGGAAGAAGAAGAAAACCTGGAAGATGAAAGAGATATGGTAAGAAGAACAAACGAGAGGGAAGAGGCTTCACCAACAAAAATTCTAAACAAAATCCCTCTTGAATGATTTGAATATTGGAATACTTTGCACCATACACAATAAAAGGAGATATCTTTGAATGCTCTAACCATAGACGAATTACGCTTCTAACTTCAGCGTAATAAAATATTTTCCACAGTACCATGTCACCGTATGGCACCATATGCAGAATGGATAGTAGGAAAATACCAAGCTGGTTTCAGAGGTGGTAAATCGACAATTCATTAGATTGCAATCCTGACACAAATTTTGGAAAATGGCATTGAATAGAAGAGAAATGTTGAAAGCAATGAAGGAGCTAGGAATACCAAATCAGTTGGTAAATTTAACAAAACTAACTCTTGAAAAAGTTGAATCTAGAGTACGAATCAGGGGGAACTGTCTGAACCTTTTAAAATAAATAGAGTTCGCAAAGATACCCTCCCTCCTGTATACTGTTCAATCTGGCTCTTCTTCTTCATGTACCATGTCCTTTCAGAACGTTGGTTACCATCATAGCTATTTTAATTTTATCCACTGCCACCCTAAATAGCATGCTTGTATCTACACCACACCAGTCTCGCAAGTTCTTCAACCATGAGGTTCTTCGTCCTGGACTGCGTTTGCCTGCTATTTTTCCTTGCATGATATTTTGTAGCAAACTATATTTGGGACCTCTCATTACATGTCCGAAATATTCCAGCTTTCTCTGCTTGATGCTTTTTATGATCTCAGTAGTCTTGCTGAGACGTTCTAATAATGTGGAGTTACGAATCTTCTCCACCCAGGAAACTTTTAAAATTCTTCTATAGCACCACATTTCGAAAGCCTCAAGGCGATTTAGATCGATTTTATTCACAGTCCAGGACTCGACAGCATAAAGTAAGACCGAGAACACGTAGCAGCGAAGTAGGCGGATCCTTAATGCCAATTTTAGGTCTCTGTTACATAATACCTTGGACATCCTTCTAAAAGCAGCTCTAGCCTGCTCTATTCTGGATCTAATTTCCCCGTGATTTTCTGAATTACAATTTAATTGCTGTCCAAGGTAGACGATTTTATCAACTTGCTCAAGTTTGGTATTATTTACATATATAGACGGTTTTATAATCTGGCTCTGGAAAAAGTTAAAATAACAACCGCTGGTTCAATATATAATAAATCATTGCAAATCCTAACCTATGCTGATGATATTAATATTGTTGGGAGAACGGTAAACGCTGTTCGAGAGGCGTATGTAGCATTAAAAGAATCAGACGTTATCGAAGCAATGAACGAATTTGTATACCTGGGAGCGCTTCTTATCACTGAAAATAATACTACTGCAGAGATAAACCGCAGAATTTTGACGGTCAACAGATGCTATTTTGACTCAATCTCCTTGTTAAATCCACAATTATATCGAGAAATACAAAAATAAAACTCTACAAGACAATAATACGCCCAGTCCTAATGTATGGAGCAGTGAATGACAATGGAGTGTTGACAAGACGATAAAACTTCGAACTTTATAGAATATACCAGGAACCTGATATTTTAAAATATTTTAAGATAGGACGTATGAGGTGGATAGGGCATGTAATGCGGATGGAACAAAATGACCCAGCTAGAAAAACGCTCCTTGATAGACCCATTGGTCAGAGAAGAAGAGGAACATCCAGAACAAGGTTCCTTGATAACATCGATGAAGACATGAGAAATATAGGAATACTTGCTTGGCGGAGAAAGGTGATGGAGAGAAATTCTTGAGGAGGCTAGAACCCACGCAGGGTTTTAAAGCCTGAATAAAGATGATGGTGAAGACAAATATACGTTAGTCCTATATCTTCTTACCCGACACATTCACTTAAGATTTCGATAATACAACATATCTAATATTCGTATCTCAAGAAGGTTTGGCCTGTTATAACTGCAAAAAATCTGGGCAAATTGCAACTGTCTCGTTAAATTGGAATCAACAAAAAATTAAATCGCTTCAAACAACAGTCAACAGTGTAGAAATCTACACTCATTTATAATGTCCCACATAGGCAACCAACCTCACCATAAATATTGTATCACAACTTTGGATTTTAACAATTTCTATGGCATATATTCCATCATTTTTATACAAATATAAAATCATAATTCATATGTAACAGTACAGTTTTTCGAATTCTATTATTGACAATCTCAAAACTAATGTGAGAGTTTTACCAAATGTTCGGCTACTTCCATGTGACATTCCTAATGAGCGGAGTGATAATATACATAAAAGGAAGAGACGCAAATACACTTGCCTTATATTGTGAGAAGGAGATTATGATAGAGTTTTAAACAAATAATTGGTACAAATTAACAATTTTTATTTTTAAAAGTATATTAATATAAATATGGATCCGGCAGCTTTTTTCGATTTATCAAAATGTTTTGAGTGACAGGCTCTGAAATTTACCTATGGAACATTTAAGTGAGCATTTAGTTATTTCATGTTACAAAAATGATATATTTTATAAAAATAAACGTTTTATTTTTCCAGTGCCATGTTGTTTGTTGTGTGTGAAAAAAAGCGTAAGCGGTATGATAATTTGCTACCAAAACGTAAGTCCTTAAATAAAAATACCATTTGAATTTCAAAATGTGTATCCCACGTTTTTTGTCAAAAAAAAAAAATAATAATAAAAACCTCATTTTCTTTAAATTTAAGCATTTCACCCACATTTCAGTGAAAAAACTAAACTTTAAAAGTTGTATTTTCTACTATGCGAAATTTTAAGTGATTTCCCAAAATATGCTAATTTTGAGATACAAGGTTTTCTGAACAACGATATATCACTTGGGAGTGAACCAACACTGTAGAAATTTTATGATGGGAAACAAATAAAATGTACAAAACAAATGAGTTTTCTTCTTCTTTTGGTGCACTCCATTTCTGGAGGTTTGCTATCACTACTTCGTTTCTGTACAGAAACCAAGTATTCTCATAATATAAGAGATTCATTCATTTCCTTATAGCTGTATGTACAATCAAAGAGATTCTTAAAATTCTCGCTGAGCGAGAAGCGTTACTACCTGTACCCTGTGGTCACAGAGTAATTTTTTTAACAATATTATTAATAAAAAAAAATTATATTTGCAGATACCTCCAAGAATATGTGGCATTAGGTACAGCTGGTGGCTTGTACCATTTTAGAGATCAAATTAGATTTGGAAATCCAGAGGCATTTTTTGTAATGAATGGTGATGTATGTTCGGATTTTCCCTTAGCTGAACTTTACCAATTTCACAAAGAAACGTGGGAAAAATCTGGCAAAAAAAGCATTAGTAAGTGTTTTGTTAAATTTTAATTAAATTTAGGGTTTCGAAGAAAAATGTAGGTATTTATAAAATGCTCATTCAGATCACTCAATATAATAATATAATCTAGTCTATTTATACACATATGAGTATACTTCAAAAATCTTAGTTAAATATTGTGTTTACCTCCTCCTCAGTCCTAATCCCTTTTGGGATGTGGTCACACCATCAGACTTTCACAGTTTTTTCACGATTTCCCTCCATCCTTATCTGTCTTGGGCTAGTTGTTCGGCTTCATGTAACCCTTGGTTAATCAATATTTTTGTTTGATCTACCCAACGGCTTGGAAATCTTCCCCTAGGTCTCTTTCCTTCAACTCTACCATCGACTATCAGTTTTTCCATCGTACCTGTTCTTCTAGCAATGTGTTTAAAATACTGCAAATATTTCTGTTGTATTTGATAAAAGTTACAATGGCGAAGATGCTATCAGCAGTAAAAATTCAAAACGACTCGTCAACCCCATTTCAAATACATAGCATAGGGGGTTAAGGCAGGGAGATGCGCTGGCGTGTCAGTTTTTTAATGTCGCCTTAGAAAAAGTTGTACGAGACGCTAATTTAGATAGCAGGGGAACAATATTTTATAGATCCTTCCAAATTCTAGCTTATACAGACGACGTGGACATTATAACAAGAACTAGGGCGAGAACTGCGGAAATCCTAACCGAGCTAGTAGCAGCAGCAGAACGAATGGGGTTAGATATAAATCAAAATAAAACCAAATTCATGGCGACTAACACAAACACAAGAGCTTTAAATGTTGACACAAATTGAATCATCAATGACCAAAACTGCGAAGCAGTCAAAGAGTTCATATATCTAGGGACATCGGTTAACCCCAATAATAACACATCTGAGGAAATAAAAAGGCGAATAATAATTGCAAACAGGTGTTATCATCGTCTATCAATGTACTTAGCTAACAAACGTCTGTCTGAAAAAACTCGTATAAGGCTGTATAGAACACTGATAGTGTCCGCTCTCACATATGGATCAGAGGCATGTATCCTCTTTGAAATCATGTTCTTATATGGTTAAGTAATCTTCGTCTTTTGCATCTTCTGTTGGAGCGTAAATGTTAAATATAGATAGATTGGCTTGGTGCTCGTGAGTTTGATAAATGGAAATTTTCCACTAATTGCCCTAAAATCCATAATTATCTGTCTTAGTTTTCTGTCGATCATGATACTGTCCTCTTTTTTTGATATCATCTCCTGTATAATAAAGTGTAATTTTTTTCTTAATTATGTTTCAGGTTACAATAATGGGAACAGAAGCAACTAGACATCAGTCTCTAAACTATGGATGCATAGTTACAAATAAAGAGACTTTGGAAGTGACTCACTATGTTGAAAAACCCAGTTCATATGTGTCAACATTAATAAATTGTGGAGTATATGTATTTTCTCCTGAAATATTCCATACAATAGGCGCAGTTAGTATGAAACTACAAGAGCAATACAGGTTTGAACAATTATTTATGTTTGAATAATTATTATGGGTTTACAGTCTACCTTAACCGCTATCGACACTCACTTTATTTTTCCTCGTTAGAGGTCTCCAAATGCATACTTTGGTCACAGAATAATAAACAATCAGAATGCCCACTCTCCATGGAAAATTAAGTACTCGCATCTCCTTCGCGCAGACGTTCCGCCTTGTTTTAGAGGAAACCAGTGTTGTTTATGTGGTGTGCATAGAAAAATTAACCCGGTTTGATTGGCTTACGGCAATCATAGACATATGATACAATAAAATATTAACATTGTTAAATATAAAAACATATATATTATATAATTAAACATAAATATAAACAATTACATAACTTCACAAATCATATATCTGCGTTATGTGTTTCCTTCTAAAACATGGCGCGCGTGCTGAAAAACTTCAAAGGCGGCATCTGAGAGTGGGAATTCTGATTGTTTATTATTCTGTGCTTTGGTATAATATTTTGCTATAATTCGGCAAGATTAAAGAACGATAGATTTGACTTCAGTTACTAATGTTAGTTCTCTTATTTAAAGCATTCGGTTGTTTAAGTATGTAACACATTTCAAGAAACTGTCTTTTAGTGAAATTTCTTTCATTGCAAAGAATTTTAACCTGTTCATAACTGACCTTATGTTTAGTGATAATAGCATGTTATGCCAGAGCGCATGTGTCTTTAGATAAATTAATATCACTGCGGTGGGTGGTTTGCAAAACTGAATTATATTTTTTATCAGCTGTCATTTAATAGTTTTTATAGATTTCGTACCTTAACGATTTCTTGAATAAATAATTAAATAAATTATTGAATACTAATAAATAAATAATTAATTAAATATCAATAACTTTATAGTTGCTTTTTTAGATAAAGTGAACCACAGATATGATTTATTCATCTGAATCATTACTTCTCTATACAAACAGGCCTAAGAATGGTATCAATATAAATGTATCCATTCATGTTACCAACAATAGGAATTAAAGGAGTTTTATTATTTAGCATGATGCCGCCCTAAAACATTATGGAGCCACCTTGATATGGGACTCTTTGGACAGCTTGGTTAAGTCTATTCTGTCGATTTGGGTTCCGCCAAATCCTAATTCGGCGATTATCCCACAAAAGGCTAATTTTGGTTTCATCAGAGAACAACACGTTTCCCCATCTGTTGTCATGCCATTGTAAATGTTCATTGGCCCATTCCAGTCGAGTCCTTTTCTGCTCTAACGTAAGCTTTGGTACAAACAATGGTCTTCTTGTAAATAAATTCGCCGAATGTAAGCTATTTCTAATAGTCTGATCGCAAATTACAATATTATGAGCTTGCTGGAGCTCTCTTCTAATAGCTAGGGCAGTCATAGTGGGGTTTGTCCGGGTAGTTAACGTTAAATAGTGTTCTTGGACATTCGTAGTAATTCTGACTCTTCCGCTTTTTGGACGATCGCTAACAGAATTCGTCTCTCGATATTTTTTCACAATCCGAAACACATCACTCTGATTCCAACCCTGACAGCAACGTTGACTTGTGTGTTTCCTTTCTCAATCAAAGTAACGATTCTAGCTCTGTTGAACTCAGATATCACTTGTTTATTCATATTGTTCACTACAAAGTGAATAAAACGAAAAACCAATTTTTACAAATATCAAAGAAATCAGTGCAAAAAAATTGAAATGAGAAATGTTCAGTGGCGTTACAGATAAAATTCAAAACATTTTTGAGTATATATATATATATATATATATATATATATATATATATATATATATATATATATATATATATATTATAGTATACAGTAATATATATATAGTATATATATATATATATATATATATATATATATATATATATATATATAGTATACAGTAATATATATAGTATATAGTATATATATATATATATATATATATATATATATATATATATATATATATATATATATATATAATATATTAGGGTGGCCCACATTATAATGTTAATTTTTCAAAGTTATATTAGACACCTGGGCACCCTCTAAATTTTTTACTTATAATATTAATAGTATTTATATGCAAAATTTCAAGATGATATTCCATTTGGAAAGGAGTGCTCAAAGACATTTTATGTTGGGCATAATTTTAGAAAATCGGAATATTTGAGGGAATTAAAAATCAAGAAAAAACAGCTCAAAGTAAGTAAACTAAATGTATTTTATTTACAGTATAAAGGTACAATAAAACAATGCAATGATATTCATGAAAGGAATTTGCTGTGGGCGATCAATCCTTTGTTGATATTTTCAAACTATCGATGATCGCTTGTTTTGTAGTCTTTGTAGGCACCATCTTTCTGTTAGCTTCTATGACCTGGAGAAGCACCTGCTTTTCATCTTCATCATTTGTTAACAGCTTGTTAAACTCCTCAAGCAGCTTTACTCCTCTTTCAGCCAAGACATTAACAACTTTCTGATTTCTGATGATGTTTTGACCTTTGATATACTCTTGGTCATCGGTCCATTCATCTGGATTTTTGGTGAAAAAATTGGTATTGATTTCCAATTTCTCAAGTAACTGCAGTGATCTTTTTGAAGCAAAATCAGCCAAACGCGCTTTCTCAGTTAGGAGTGCTGAATTGCCTCTCACTTTCCGTTCAACAGGCTCACATTTCATTTTTTCAACGATTTCCACCTTATCATCAACAGATACTTTTTTTGAGAACAGACTCAAACCAACCAACTCATCCGAAAGATACCAAAGATGAGATTTGAAAGCCTTTTTGACAATTTCAGTTACTTCAGGATCAATATCATGGTACTTTGTCATATCATTCCACAGTGAGAGATCTGACCATGGAGCATTTGAAGCTAAAGGAGCTTCTACCCAGTACTTGACGTAGACAAGAACTCCAAATTTCACAAAGCGTTCAAGCTGAGCTTTCTCCCTTTGCGTTGTCACGAAACCACTGTCATCACGAGACAAATAGATTTTGATGCCATATAACAACTTAGCCATCCAACGGGCGTGGTGTACCGCACCAGGAGCTCTCCAATGAATTTTGGCTGGAGTGTGGCCTAAAGCAATTAAAGCCAGCTCAATCAACTCCATATAGTCATCCCGAGGCTGACTTTTGCCTTTTAAGGCAACTTGGAGAACATCAACTGCAGATTGTTTGAAATCTTCACTGCCAGGAATGTTTCCCAAAGACTGATAACTATCTTGTCTGATATATTGCCATGCTGCTTTGAATCTTTTGAATATAGGTATATCAGGTGAACTGGAGGGACCAAAACAGAAAGTAAATACTTTACTGAGTACAATCTCTAAAACATTGCTGATGCTAGCCATAACAATTCTCCTTCAACTAGGTGTTCAATCAGAACACAAGCTCATTTTTCAACCCTGTGTTTACAGATGTTGTGTCAAAACACATACCCACTACCTTTTTACCCAAACCCCATTCAGTAAGCTTTTTGTAATCAGCATTAGCTGAATTTTCACCAGTACCACCAACTAATTTTGGTACACCAAGCAATTTATCTGTATTTTCAGCAGGACAAGATACTATGACAGGCAAACGGTCTACCTTGTCACTTCCCAAAATATCAGGAAGAATTTTTCCATCCCAGTGTACAATGACGGGATTATCAAAAGAGGTAGATTCTTTAATAGTTTGAAATATAGTTTTTCGTGCTTCCTTCCTTTCCCGTTGAATAGTGCTTCTTGAGAGCGGCAATTCACTGGGATCATGACCGAGAGCTGCTGCGATAGGAGCCATTAATCTTAAAGCTTCCCTATCAGAAACTTTGTTGCGATCCAATGCACTAACAACATGTGTGGAAAACAAACTTCTCTTTGCGATTGGTGGAGATGACAAGTCTGTGTGTGAATCTCTTTTGTTTCTTTGGGATGCCGAAGATGATGATGATGGTTTATACAGCTCTTCTTCTGATGAGCTGTGTTTTACTGGAGTACACTCATCTGGCCATATCCATCGAAGCGATCACAAAATGGAGCGGTTGGTGGTCCAAGGAAGGCCTCAGACTCAACGCCAACGCGGAAGATCTCCACAGCGATGGGCGGACATTACTAAAAAGCTTCTCAATAAACAGTATACTGCAGGCAATACATATAAACTGATGACCGCGACCAGTGGAGAAATATTTATCAATCAAACTGTCCGAGCTGCTGAAGCCCAATTATGAACCACAACACATCTACTAAGATGTTAATGACTGTGATGATGACACTCATCTGATGAATCATCCTCTCAACTTTTGGCAGGAAGCAGTCGGAGTCACCAGAGGCGAAGCGGTTCCCTCTTGAGCTTTTTGAAGTCTTTTTTGTTTTTTAACTTTCTTTCAAGGATTCTCTCCTGTTTTTTTTATATTCCTTGTCTTCTGATGTTATGATCATTTTTCTGTCAGTTCTTTGATCTATTAGAAACTGTCTGTTCTCATCTACTTTACACATAACCAGGGCTTCACTGTGAGCAATATCAAAAAGCTGATCGAGCTGCTCTACAAACAGATTTTGTCTTTTGTTCTGGGCATCGGAGTTTCTTCCTTTATTTTTCTTTAGCATAAGCCATTCATTGTGTATTTTCTCAACTTTTTCAATACAATGTTTTTTTAATCTGGTAGGAATCGCAGCCTTTTGCCATACTGACATCACTTCTTCCAAGGTTAAGTGGCTAGCATTCCTTATGGATTTTTTCTCGTTTAGGAAAAATGAAATCTGAGAAGAACTTGCCTTACAGAAGGTAGTTGGTTCAACTGAGATATGGGTTCTAATTCTCTTATTCCAATTAAAAAAATATTGTCTGCTTTACGCGTTGAAGTGGAGGGCGAAGCCATGACTACGCACATGCACAAATCACAGTTCCTTCTTCTGTTCACTTTTTGCACTTCACTCGTATTTTCTACTAGTAAACAAAAATAGTCATATATTATATATATATATATATATATATATATATATATATATATTATATATATATATATCAATTACTTAAGTCTTTAAATGCACAATTTTCACAATTTCAGCATCTGAAACAAAAAAATAATGTAAGATATTAATTTTTGAAAATTCGACGAAATTGCGAAATTTTCAAAACTTTGAAGACTTTGAGCACTGCTTTCCACTCCACCTATGACATTGAAACTTTAGGGATTTACTTCTATTAGGCAAAGTAAAAAAATGAGAGGGTGCCTAGGGATGTTCTACAATTTTGAAATTTTTGGGCCACCCTAATATATATATATATATATATATATATATGTATATAATATATATATATATATATATATATATATATATATATATATATATATATATATATATATATATATATATATTATATATTTATATATATTAATTATTTATCTATTTTGTATTTATGTGTTTTTTATTTCATCCATTATTTATAAATCTTTTATTATTATTAGCAAAAACGGAAACGGAAATGGTAATAGAGAAGCCGGCTATATCCAACTAGAACAAGAAATACTAGCTCCACTTGCCGGATCTGGACAAATATATGCTTTACCAGTCACAAATTGGTGGTCGCAGTTAAAAACTGCCGGTTCAGCTATCTATGCTAATCGTCATTATTTACAGCTTTATAAGGCAAAGCATCCAGAAAGATTATGTTCACCAGGAGGAAATGAAGAAAGGTGTGTAATTTACCCCGATGTCCTTGTAGATAAAACAGCATCTATTCATCCTACGGCTGTGGTAAGCAGAGTTTTTATCTTTTTATTTTTATGTTAGCAAATGTATTTGTATACCATTACCATGGATAATATACTAAAGATGGAACATGTTGATATTTTTACATGTAGCTGATAAACGACGGAAACCTTCGTCTAGTTGCACGTAAACAGAAGAAAATAATTGATCATTCATTATCTGTAATAAAATAGACAAAACAAATAAAACACAAGGTTTTAAGTTACAATTTTCTTTAATTTTCTCTTATTTCTTATGTCTTCTTTAAGTGTTAGGTTTAATTTCTTAATTCTAAAATACATTTGAGATCGAAAGAACAGATGTTTGATTTTGTAGTTATATTCAATTTTCTCTTGGCAAGTCAATCAGTCTTTGTAAATATTTTTTCCCTGACTTTAACTGAAGTTCAAATCCGTTGAAATTATTAAATATAATATTAAGCTCATGCATTTCTGCCACCAATTCGTCTGGAGGTTTCCTCATGCCGCCTTCGGATACTTGATAAATATATCAGTGGAAGTATCCGTAGTTTCAGGCAGATAATTGTTTGCATATATAACCACTGACATATACCAGTTTGAAAATAATGTTCTTATTAATTTCCGCTCCACGAAAGACAAAGCCATTGTCAAGACATCACATAAGACACGGAATGCATAAAATATTCTTAATAATAATTCTTTACACTAAAATAATAGAAATAATAAAAATAATTTTTTACACTAAATTGACCTGAGTCGTTCTCAATATGGTTTTAGGAAAGGTACAGGCACCAGAGAAGCAATAATGGGATTGACACCAATGGCAGAAAGGTATCTCGAGGTTCAAAAACAGCTGTATGTGTGCTTTGTCGATTATAGAAAGGCCTTCGACCGCATTAGACACGAAAAATTGATTGAGGTGCTAAAAGAAGTAGGGCTGGACGGACACGACATAGCTATGATAAGCAATACATACTGGAACCACAGGATGTGTTCGAACAGACAACGGAAATTCCAATTATGTAAACATAGAACGAGGAGTGCGTCAAGGGTGCATTCTGTCCCCTCTTTCTTTAATGTCTATGCCGAAAATATCATCAGAGCTTCTCTTGAAGATCGCCCTGAAGGTGCCAGAGTCAATGGAATCATCATTAACAATGTAAGATATGCCGATGACACCGTAGTATTACCAGAAACAGAAGACCAACTAAAAATATTGATGAACATACTATCAGAAGAAAGCCACAGACTAGGTTTGGATATTAATCTTTCCAAAACCAAAATCATGGTATTCCACAAGAACCCCCATGAACAAATTACACCCAACATACAAATCAATAGTATCACCCTTCAGAGCTCCCAAAGCTTCCTATACCTGGGCAGAGAGCTAAACAGTCAGCTAGACACTTAAAAGAAATTAGAAGACGTATTGAAATAGCAAGATCTGGCTTCATGAACATGCGTAAAATGCTCTGTAACCCAAGCTATCAATCACAATAAGGTTAAGAACACTAAAGTGTTTTGTGTGGTCTCTCTACTACTATATGGCTGTGAGATCTGGACATTAAAACAGTATGACGTCAACAAACTGAATTCATTCGAAATGTGGATGTACCCGAATGTTAAGAATAAGCTGGACCAGCAAAACTACAAATGAAGAGGTACTGGAAATAATGAACACACGACCTCATCTGGTTAATACAATCAAAATTAGAAAGACGTCATATCTAGGACACATAATGCGCCATAAGGAATTTGAGCAGCTCCAGGTAATATTAGAAGGCAAAATCGAGGGTAAAAGGGGTATAGGAAGAAAGAAGAAATCCTGGCTCCGAAACATCAGAGATTGGACTCACACAACAGGAAATGACTTAATCCATCAAGCCCAGAACAGGGAGAAATTTGCCATATTGATCGCCAACCTCAATAGAGAAGGCACTTAGGAGGAGGAGGACACTAAAAAGCCTACAAATCAACTTAAATCTCGCAAAAACACCATAAAATCTACAAGCTTACAAAATACGTGAAAAGCTAAAAAATTGATAAAATTTCCATTATAACAGATGTATTACAATAACGGCCAGTCTCATTGCGGCGTCAACAGTAGGGGATCAGTTGATAGTGGCCTGTGTAATATTATACCTGTTATTCTTTGTATCATACTAATCACTAATAGATATTTGTTTATTTTGTTTTCTTTTCAGTTGGGACCTAATGTAAGTATAGGAGCAGGTGTCACTGTAGGATCCGGAGTACGAATACGAGAAAGTATTGTTTTGAATGACGCAACGATAGAAGATCGTAGCTTAGTCCTTCATAGTATCATCGGACGAGGTTCAAGAGTGGGTAAATGGGCACGAGTCGAAGGAACACCGTCGGATCCGGATCCAAACAAACCCTTCGCTAAAATGGAAAACCCGCCATTATTTAATTCAGATGGAAAGCTCAATCCGTCAATTACTATTTTAGGTAAATGAACTACTGTGTTATTAAGTTTCTTCTTTTTTTATTTAGAATTTTTATTTTATCCCTTTCTAGAAATTTTTTTTGTTGGTTTAGGTTATGATAGTTTCCTTGCCAATATTTTGTTAAGTTTTGTTGAGAAAGAGTGTAAGTTGTTATTCCTGTTTGTTGATTGACAAAATAGTTGGCCTCTTTGTACAAATAGTATCACAATTCGAAAATTTAGATTGTGTTAATATACTCTGTTCACTGAACCCACATCATACTGCCTAGTAAATTTAGTAATTAATTTTTTGTAAGGTTACACAAATTTTGACGTCAACTGGAAGTGACTGAAAGTTACTATGCAACCAAGCAGACGTGATCGTAGCCAATATTAACTGTAACTTAAATAAAAAAATATTCACATGAGTTTCTCGGTAAATCGACCAACAGACAGTCGATCGCTGCGATTTCCGTTGTAGCCTCTTTTAGTGTGCAATATATCCTGGTGAAAAATTTCACCAGGATATATCTCATATGGCATGCCGCCGCATCCAGATTTTTAGGGAAAAAATTTAAGTGCGAAACTAAAAATGATTCTTGAATGATTTCTAGGTAGCCGTCAGCATTCGTATTGATTGCCAACGAAATTATGACACACTTCTATCAGAACCGCACAAGCTCTTGTTCCTGTCCTGTTTAAAATCAAATTAAAAGCTATATCCGTCATAAGCTCTCATTTTTACAGACAAAACAATTCCTTCTTTTAACTTCGCGCCACTTTTTTACATATAACACCTGTACGGTGTTTGTATACTGCTATCTGATCACAAATGCCTAATTATCAGTTATTTTCTGACATAACTTAATAAACAGCAAATACTTAAATCTAAGGGGCTTACCCTATGGTTTACTCTTATTTTATCTATCAACTATTGCACTACAACTAACATGTAATAACATCACAGCACTATACTCTGCTTTTTACACTAAACTGTTGCACATTTACATTAACTCAAATGGTTTTATCCTTATGAGCCTTCTCTTTTGTTCAGTGTTGTCAAGAAGCTAGATTGCCTCGACATTTACATGACTGTGACTCGTAACTTGCTGCTGTTCTCTTGATTACTTCGGTCACAGTTTCCATACCCAGGTCCTGGTGGAGTTTGCTGTTACGAATATACCAAGGAGCATCAACAATGTTCCTCAGTTCTTTGTTTTGAAATCTCTGGATAATATGTAGATTACTAGCTTTGGTACAGACCCAGAGTTGGCACTCGTATACCCATACTGGCCTCAGTACTTGCTTGTAAATGAATAATTTATTAAGAATGGATAATGTTGGACTTTTTCCAATCAGCCAATACAATTTCTTACATCTAATATCAAGGTCCCCTCTTTTTTTGACATGGACTTTCCAGCACAGCCTCGCGTCTAGGGTGATGCCCAAGTATTTTGCTGGTGTTGCAATAAGAAACTTGGGTATCATTCATTCTAACTGGGAAATTTTCTATTTTTTATTTGTAAAGTTAATGTGTGCAGATTTAGTTTTATTTAATTTTATTCGCCATTTTCTAGTCCAGGTATGTATTTTACTGATAGTTGCAACTTGCAACTAGTATTTTTTGTATCATCCGCGAAGGTGGCAATAGTGTTTTCTTCTAGCTCTGGAATGTCACACGTATACAATAGGTATAGAACGGAACCTAATACACTCCCTTGTGGCACGCCAGCTTTGATCTCCCTGTGTCATCTTTGCCTCCCTGCTTCTTTTTCTTCATCACCCCAGAAATCAGACAATGTACTTCTCCCCATTCTTTCTCTCCTCTCAACATTATGTTTACGTTTCTTTCATCCGGTACCCCACAAACAGTACAGTCTGCCGAGGCAAATTTGCCTATTATATTTGTGAAGGTGCCAAAACTACCATGTCCGGTCAGAAACTGCATCAGGAAGTAGTCTAGTTTTCTAAACTTATATTCCCATCACCCTCTCAGATCGGGAATAAGCTCCTTCGTCCACCTTGTCTTTCCACTATCATTCGCCCATTCTCTCTGCCACTCTACTATCGTTCTTTCTATTTCTCTCTCATTCTCATGTATATTTACATCCATTCTCCTCGCATACATCCTCGCTCGCTCTTTACACAACAAAACGATTGGTATCACCGCTCCAATGACATATAGAGCCTCATTCGAGACTGTCCTATATGCGCTAGATTCCCTGAGGAGCATTCGCCTTTGCGAAGTCTACATCAGCTTAGCGTATTTCGCAGTGTTTAGTACACTACACCACACAGGAGCAGCGTAGATTACTACCGACTGGAAAACCCTATTTAGCACCTCTCTTTTGGTGCTTGCTGGGCCTCCAATGTTTGGCATCAACCGTGTCAACGCCTCCAGATTTCGGTTCGCATTCTTTACTGTCTTTTGGATGTGTACTCCTAACCTTAGACCTTCCGAAACCAGACCCCCAGATATTTAATTGATTTAACCGGTGCAACCTCCACATCTTTCACTATAAACCGAAGAGAGGATTTTCCGGGTCCCTTTGATAACTAACACCTCAGTTTTCTGAGGCGCTAGCTGTAGATCGTTCTCTCTGATCCACCTACTAATGCGACGCAAGACTGTGTTAGCCGCATTAGCCATGTCCGTTTTCTGACTCGCCTTCGCAACCAGTGCGAGATCATCGGCATAAGCTACAAGAGTGCATCCCTTGGCATTTGTAGCCTCAACACCCGTCGTACAGGACATTCCACAGGATGGGACCTAGTACTGAATCCTGCGGAACACCCAGCGACAAACTGACGCTGGTATCTTTTTCTCTTATGGACATGGCAGTAAAGTATCTGTCAATTATGTTGACCAGGTATTTACTAACGCCCAATTCTCTAAGCCTGGACATGATTTTTGCCCATGATGCCGTATTAAAGGCATTCTTTACGTCGAGCAGGATGAGAGCCATTCATCTCTTTGTATCCTGCGTGACTAAAGAGGTTACTTCTGTGACCGCATCTATGGTGGACCTTTTGGCCCCAAAACCATATTGGCGATAGCTCAGCGCATGCTTTTTTTTTAGCTCTCGCTTAAGGCGGCCTTTTATAAGCTGTTCGTACAATTTAGCTATCGAGCTAAGAAGATAAATTGGCCGAAATCGTACCTCTTCCTCTTGACCTTTACCTTTCGGTATAAGGACAACGTTAGCTTCTTTCAACGTTGTTGAAAACTGCCGTTGTTCAAGCAGTTTGTTTAGCAATCTCAGAAAAACCTGCGGTTATTTTAGTGCAGCGAGTCTTACTGTCTCCGGCATGACTCCATCTATGCCAGGTGCTTTTCGGATTTTTATCCGTCCAACAGCCTCGCCGAGTTCCAACTCAGTGAAAGGTTAAGCATCTACGAAACCAATAAACCCTTTCACACCTATCCTCCACGTGAGGAAAGAGTTCCCGTATTAAACGGAGTTTCTCCTCCTCAGGCAGAAGGTAGGGTGTCTTTTTCCCCTTCAATTCAGTACAGACAATCTTGAAGCCCTGCCCCTAGATATTCCTTTCGAGATCCTGAAGCAGGTTACTCCACCTTTCTTTTTTAGATCTTCTTATCTCATTCGTGTATTCATTCTGCATTCGCTTTAATTCATTTATTCTCTCTTCCAAATCTACTGCTTGTACTCTTCTTAACCTCTTACACTCCCTTCTTACTCTCATGCAGTTTGTCCTCAGATTTTCAAGCTGCTCGTTCCACCAGTATGGTTGTTTTCTTTCATACCTCCCATTTGATCTTGTACAAGCCAACTCCTGTGCATCGCTCAGACCCTGAATTAACTCACACACATCCTCACATCCCGGATCAATCAAGCCAAAAGCATCTACAAAAACCTTCTCATTTAAACATCTCTTTAGATTGATATCTCCATTTTTACGTTTCTATCTTTTTATTGTAGTATCATTGGGGCACAGTAGATCCATTTTTAATTGAAGGAAATTTGATTTACACCAGAACACTTAATCCTCTAATAAAAGAGGGTTTTTTTTAATAATTTTAATAAGGAGCACAGAAAATTTAATATAATTATATCCTCGATGGTAAATAATCAATTTGACAATTTTGACTGAACCAAGAGATAAATATTTACGATCAGAAAATCACGTAAGCAATTAGTGCAACATTCGATATTTTTCATTTGTATGCATCATAATATACCGATTGCGAGAGGGGTTAGGCAAGGATGCGTCTTGTCTCCGACGCTTTTCAACGTGTACTCACAGGTCATATTCAGAAAAGCCTTATGGGAAAGAAAAGAGGGAATAAGAATTGGTGGAGAAATCATAAACACCATGAGATTTGCAGATGACACGGTAATTATGGCTGAGAGTATAGAGATCTACAAACTTTACTAGATGCAATAAATAGTGAATGCATTCAAATGGGACTTGACATCAACACAGATAAGACCAAATTTATGATAGTATCAAGGAGTCCAATAAATAATGAACAACTAATTCTTGGTGGACAGCAAATAAAGAGAGTGACAAAATATAAATATCTGGGAGCTTACATCAACACAGAATTAGATCCAGACCAAGAGATCCGGGTACGAATAGAAATGGCAAGGGCAGCGTTCTTAAAATTCAAACAATTGTTCTGTGACAAAAATCTGAATATTGCGCTGAGACTGAGGTTTGTTGAATGTTACGTCTGGTCGAAATTATTGTACGGGGTAGAAACATGGGCACTAAAAGCGCAAATAGTTAAAAGATTGAAGCCTTTGAACTTTGGATATACCGGAGAATGTTGAGAATCCCATGGACTGCCAGGGTCACCAATGAGGAAGTGCTGAGAAGAATGGGTCGAGTCAAAAATTGTTGAGAACGATAAAAGTACGCAAGACTGCATACCTTGGACACATCTAAGAAATAATAAATATAGTCTTCTGCAGGTCATCATGCAGGGTAGAGTCGATGGAAAAAAGGGAATAGGTAGAAAGAGGAAGTCATGGCTGCGAAATATTCGAGACTGGACAAACATGACTGTAGACGAATTATTCCACGTTGCAAAAGACAGAGAAGCTTTTAAAAATGTGGTCGCCAACCTCCGTTAATGGGGACGGCATAGGAAGAAGAAGAAGAAGGCATCTAGGTTATACATAAATACCCATTACCATGACATGCCTGTGTAAAAAAATAACCGGAATGGATGAAAAAATCATAAAGTCCAAGAAACATCGTCGTTTTTTATTTAACAGGGAGCTCAGTAAAAAAAAAAATAACATAATATATATATTATAGAATAAATTATTCTTAAGAAAAAAAAGTTTTTATTTAAAATCCTTTATAAAAGGTATATAATTAAAAACCCTTTCGGGCTACATCACACCAAAATGTTTTCGGACTTACTAGTCCATCGTCAGTGCATTTACCAGGTGTACATGAGATAAGCCACTAAATATGTGGGGGAAAACCCTTAAAATATTGCATTTTTTTTATTTATTACAATCTTTGTTATAAACTTGGTGTGATAAAGTTACGGGTACCCTGCATGGCAACGTAAAACTCCCAATAGGGTTGCAGAGTCTGAGACGTTTTTGGGTTGGGTTTTTATAATTATATAACTTTTAAAATGGATTTTAAATAAAACTTTGGTGATTTATGGTACCTACATAGCCAACTACAAGAATTTCATTTTCCTTGTAAATTTATTTTTGCAAATTTGCCGAGATCTATATAGCTAACAATTTCTATTTGTTTTTTTTTATATTTAAAATGGTATTTTGATTTTAGGTTGCTCGGTGAGTGTTCCGTCAGAAACTATTTTATTAAATTCAATCGTACTTCCCAACAAGGAACTATCAAGAAGCATTAAAAATGAAATAATTTTATAAATACAGAAATAAAAACCAAGATGCACAAACAACTTTTATAAAAATTTTCAATTTGGAGTGAATGTTATGTTTTTATCTTTGTACAAATATTTTTATTTTATTTTTAAAGATTTATTTTTACTTTTACTAATCATTCCAGACTGAATAAATATTGACTTCCTGATATTTTTTTGTTTATTTAATATTCCTCTACAAAAATAACGACGGTATAAATTATGTTGACTTAACAAATATCGATACTACTATGAATCTGTTAGACCGTAAAAAAATTAAAACTCAAAGAAGCAAGAATTCTTTTGTGAATGAAAAGGTCACGGAGGCGTCGTACTTGGTTAGTTTTCTGCATTGTTCAAACAGAAGTAGTGCATACCATCGCTGAAAAGCTAATAAAACCATGTGTGGTAGACATAACAAAATGTATGCTCGACGAAAAATCTGCAAAGCATCTTTCTAGTGCCGCTTTCGAACGATACAGTTTCACCTCATATTTCGCAGGATACATAAAACAAGTAATGGTTGCACGGCTTCAAAATAACTAATTCGTCTTGCAAATGGAGGAGTCTACTGATACTGCAGAACTGGCCATCTTACTTGTAATTGTACGATATCCATATAAACATTCTTCAAAGTCGATATGATCAATGCTTTTCTTGTGGATCAAAATTTATATGACGTCATATGTTATTCGGAGTACTGGCAAAGTGAAAAAAAATTCAAAATTAATTAGCATCTCCGGCTTTCATTAGCTAATTTTTTTTGTATGGCAAAAAAGCCTGAAAAAACTGAACCACTTTAAAGCAGTGCCTCTAAAACCATATCTTTCCAGTTTATTAAGTAGTATTTTGTGATTGACACAGTCAAAGGCTTTAGATAGATCACAGAAAACTGCCGCAGCAACATGATCGTTATTTAAGTCCAAGTATAGTTTTTCCATGAATTCAAATAAGATGCATCATATGTACTTTTAATGACTGGAAACCGAATTGGAAGGAAGAAAGAAAATTAGCAGGTGAATCGTGGTCACCACCTTTGTACATAGGAATAACCTTAGCACATTTTAAACAATCGCTAAAGTGACCCGTTGAAAAAGATGTGTTAATTGCCTCGATAAAATTCTCAGAACATTATCAGGAAGAAGGGATAAACTTTAGATGGGATATCATCCCAGCCTGAAGCCATGGGATTTTTAATGCCTTGTATAATATGTTTTATTTCAGCCGAGTTAGTGGGAAGAAAGTAAAATAAATTTGTAATGTTTACTCCATTTAAAAAATGCATTGGATCAGAAGAAGAATTAATTTTTCCAGCGAGTTCTGGACCTACCGAGCAGTAATATTTATTCAGATCACTAGGGTCTAAGATTATTAACTATACGCCAAGATTCCTTTTGTTTATTATTGGCATTTTCCATTCTAGATTTAAAAGATATACATTTGGCTAATTTAGTTACTTTCCTATATATGGACCTATATTTATAGAACTATATCAAAAATTCATAATTGCATATTATATGTTTTTTAATGTAATTTAACGATCTTAAGTTTTTGCAGGAAATTCTAATTCCTTTAGTGACCCAAGTTTTCTTACTTTTTTTGATTTAAGGACTTTTTTGAAATGCTAAATTGAAAATCTTCATGAGAGTGTGTTAAATTGATGAAGCAAATCAGGGAGAGCAAAAAATATTATTCCAATCTTCCTGATTACATAATTTGATAAACCTGTCAAAATTTTTGCTGAAAATCCTAGCCCATCTGGCCGTATAAGGTGGATTCTTAAGGGGAAAATACACATAAAATGGGATCATGATCTGATGAAAAATAGGGAATCACTCTGCACACAGCTAGATCTGGATGTAAATTAGTACAAATATAATCTAATATGCTGTTATTTCTGGTTGGATCGGGTAACCAGCATGCTCATATTAAAACTATTAAGTAAATTTGTAATGGTAATAACATGGCTGTGTGATGAATCCAGATAATCAATATTAAAGTCACCTGTCAGTATAATAAAAGCATTTTGTGGAATTTTTCAAGCAAAGATTCCAATCTTTGAAGGAATAACTGATTAATAGACTTAGGGGGTATGTACACAACAATGAGAAAAGTATTAAGTTTCTTACTGAAAGTAATAGAGAATTCAATGCAGAGGTGGTTAAATTTATTGTAGTCAACAAAATTGAATTTATAATAAAGCGTTGTATTCATTAAAATTAATGTGCCTCCATGTACACTTTCAGATCTGCAAAATTGAGATATTATGGAGTAATTATTAATGCAAAGTGTTTCCATAGGATACAACCAGTGCTCAGTTAAAAGCACAAGATCTGGCCAATCATTTTCGCTAAGAAATACTTCCAGTTCCTAAACTTTATTGCGTACAGAAAATATGTTGTATAAAATAATAGAAAATTTAATAACGATATTAGATTTAGATATACTGGTATTCACTTTATCACCCACTTACAATATTATTTATGTTATTTGTGTGCCCTGTGTTGTCAAAGATTCTATTTAATCCTGGCTGGGTGATACTAATTACTTTCTTATCTGGGAAGGCATTCAAAAATCCTTATTGTTACGTTGGTAGTTGTGAAATTTTTTGAAGTCGAAACCTTTTGAACCTTTTTTTGTGACCATCCAGCTCAATTTTTATTAATCGACTCTGAGCATAAAGTTGTTGACACTAATCAAACATCTCAACGGTTTATTACTCCTTCTGGTTTACAGAAGCTTAAACGTGCGCTAGCTAGTACAAATATGGACTTTTTTTTATAATAATAATGATCCTGATTTTTTGACACTCTTTCTTACCGAAACTTATAACAATTTAATATTAAAAGTATTTTCCACTAAAAAAGTACGACAAACTGCTAAAAAAATCACCCGTGCAATGATTTGATCATGAATTAAGGTCCTACAGATCTAATCTTTCTTATATTAAACACATTGCAGATGCCACTAAGGATCTCGATTTGTTCAAAGTATACCAACAACAAAAGTTTGAACATAATCGGCAATTACTAATTGCTAAAAAGTCAGCTTACTGTAATTTTATTACTAGATCCAATAATAAACCTAGAGACTGCTGGAAAATAGTAAATTTCGAAAGAAACAACACAAGATCCATTTCGGTACAACCTGATCTACCTCCAAACGAAATAAATCAATTTTTTACTACAATTGCAGAGAATATAATTTCATCTCTTCCCACTATTAATGTCGATGTCCTGGTAGAGGTCGATGTCTTCCAGTAAGTCCTTTTTTCGTCCCGTTGTAGAAGAAAAGGTCTCTCAAATAATTAAAGTCTCTTAATAATTCTAATTGTAGGAACGCTCACGAAATTAATAGCAAAATTTTAAAAGAGATTTACCAAATAGTTTTACCACCTTTCACTAATCTTATTAATTTAATTATTCTATCAACTAGAGTATTTCCAGAAGTACTAAAATACTCAAAAGTACTACCAATCTACAAAAAAGGTGACTCTTCAAAAACTGACAATTATAGACCCATGGGCATTGGTTCTACTTTTGGGAAAGTTATTGAAAAGATTACCAAACAACAATTTTATTCCCATTTTAAGTCAAATGATTGCTTTAGCAACTCACAATATGGATTCAGAAGTGCTCGTTTTACTGAGAACGCGGTATTTAATGTTGTGAGCGAGGTGATTGAAATGCTTGAACGCGGCAATCGCATAGCAATTTCTCTTTGCGACGGCTTTTGATTGCGTTTCACACGACATTTTGCTCCACAAATTAAATTACTATGGAATCAGAGTATCCCTCTTAAGCTTATAATTTATTATCTATGTGGCAGGCACCAGGCAGTAGTGTCTAAAGGTCATCTCTCCGATTTTCTATTACGATTCTAATACATGGAGTCCCACAAAGTTCGGTCTTATGATCCCTTGTGTTTATTATTTATGTCAATTCGTACATACGTTAAATCAGTAAAAAATAATGATGATTTAAAAATGTCTTATGAGGTAGTTTCTACTAAATCTAGCTCATGATTTGCTGCAAACAAACTAAAACTTAACTTTTGCGATAAAACGCAAAATTTGGTTATATTTGCAAGTAATTTACACAATGATTCAGATAACAAAAATACTATTAAACTATTGGGAATAACCATAGATACTCGACTCAACTGGTCGGATCATATCTCACAACTAATTAAAAAACTATTATATTCATTATTTGTTATTGGTCAATTAGCAAGGGTCGTCATTTGAAACATTAAATATGACGTATTTTTCTTTATTCCACTCTCACCTAAACTATGGTGTAATCATATGAGGCAATTTAACAAATGCACTTAAAATTTTTAGAATGCAAAAGAAAGCTGTTGGGATTTTAGCAGGGGTTAGTTATCTAGAACACTACCGAGCTTTCTTTATCAAATTCAAAATTATGCCGCTACCCTACTCTGTTGATATTTGAAGTTATAACTTAAATTCACAGAAAATGTCGAAGGGAAACTGTCACCACCTACGAACAAATCCCTGTAGATTAAGTATTTCTTAGAAAAATTTTCCTTACTATAAATATTACAATATTTTACCAAAAAGTATTAAACAGCTAAGCTGTAATAGTTTCGATAAAGTTATAAAAATATCTTCTAAAACATTGTTTTTACTACTCAGAACAATGTATGACTCATTGCAGAACATCCACTAAACTGCTTACCGCAACTTTGCCATAAATCTTTTTCTGTTTAATATTTGTTCTTGTTTGTATGTATTTAAGTTACGTTTTATGTTCCTTTTTTTATATACTATGTATGTTTTTTTTGACTTGCCACAAACAATATTTCTATCTGTTATATAGTTAAATACATACTCTACTCTATACTCAAGGACTTAGCATTTTCTTACAGGATTTTACATGTGAAATAAAGCAAAAACGCTATATGTAGCATCGTTTTTACAGGTATAGCTTTTACTTAATTTTATTTGTTATTTCATTTTACGTAATTCTGTTTAACTTGAGTTAATTTTTTAATTTTATTTAATTCTATTTACCTTTATTTAATTTTATTTTGGTAAAACGCTAATTTTGTTTATTTATGTAAACATCATTTTATTTATATAGTAAGTGTTTGGGAAAGTATGTACTTTTCACTTTTCATTTAATATTTTTCTGTTACTGTAATGTAATGTGATCTAATTCAATGCTGTATTCTAACGACTTTGTTAAAATATATTACTTTCTGTTATTTCCTAAAATTATTAAATTTACTATCTCATTTATTATGTTTTAAGTATGGATAATTTGGCTTTCTCTTTTGTGTTATGTGTCACAAAGGAAACTGATGTAAAGTTTCGTATTACCGTGACAATTAACTTAAATTATCGCCACTCAAAATCGCAATACAATAGAGTGATTTATTGGTATACTCTCTTGGACCACCACGTAACGGTTAGAGTGTTCTTTTCTGTCTCAAGACACCTCAACACAAGACAGCGAACGACACGGACCTAGTTTGATCGGTTCTCGTGCTATTGCCTCGGCGTCCCGGGCGTCGTGATGCACCGCGACCAACTCTTCAGCCTGTTACGAATACATCAACAGAACCAAAGGGTAAGTCTACATTCTTTGTACGGACAACAATAATGAGTAGACCAGTTAATTTCGTACTTTATTCACAATTGATAGTTGTTATTGTTCGCTAATTTATTTACAAATAGTGCATTTTTTGTTTATTATTATTTATTTAATATCACTTAACCAGCGACCTCTTAAGTTCTATACAAAACAGTAAGTCTATGTTTATCTTACCCAATGACATATAATAAATATATTATACTTATCTTACAATTACAGTAGCCTATATTTTTAGTAATTTTGCGAAAAAATAAGTTTTGAGAAGTAGTAATAATAAATCAACTGTATCATTTCAAGAGCAAAGTATAACTGAAATGTCAAATGTTGGTAGTTCAGATTTCTTTCCTAGTTGGCGTAGTTACCTTATATATTATCTATTGTTGTATTCAACTAATATAAAAATATATTGGGTAACTACTATACTGTACTTTTATTAAATTAATAAATAAAGTTATAATATATAACTAAGTTATGGGGCAAAAAGAAAAAAATGGCGAGTTTTCGTATTTTTTTGTATCGTTTTTTTTATATTTTTGAAAAAAAATTTTTTTTTTTTTGACTTTATCTCCTTAGAGATGATTCACTTAGAGACTAATTCACCTCGTTCTCAAAAAACGCACCCCTTTAAATGTTAACATTCCGCGGTTTTTTTAATACTTAGATGTCCATTGACCATATGAAATAATAAAACCTCCTTAACGTTGTAAGTTCCTTTCTAAAGTACATTATCAATAGTATGTAACCTCCAATGATGCGAGACAACATATGATGAAAGTTAAACCTGTTTATTTTTATGGATACGATTTAAAGCTAATTAACTTTGTTTAAAAATTGCGTTAGTAATTAATTTTGGCTACTGCAGAATTAAATATAGCATACATCTTTAATTCGCTCAAAAGAAAAAACTTACCTAATAAATAGCTTTTTTTATATTTGCAACATGTGTTCATGTTCTAATTAAATGCTTGATTTCGCTTTTTATCAAAACATACATTCTGTTTCACTGTTCTTTTAATGAAACCTTATGCCTGTTTATTACTGAATTGTTAACATTTTTTTTAACACCACACATTTAACCCAGATCTGTCTGACATATAATAAGTTATACGCCATAAACATGATTTGACTTGTACATATGTGCGAATTTTTCTCTTGGTAACAGCTTGAATTCTTTCAATGAGTCTTGGCCTCAGTAATTCAGGACTAGACCATTTGCTGATTTCACAGCAAAACCCAACTCGTGGTTGGTGCAATGATAAAGCAAAAGTGCGATGTTCAAAATGCAATGCAGGCTTCAGTATCAAATGTTTTGTTTAGTGTACCATATTTTTAGTGTATAGTATTTTTTTTTACTTATTTTGAGTAAATATTTTGTTTTAACGATAAATATGTTTTATTACCCTATATAATGCGTAAATTTGGAGAATATTAAAAAATATTTTAAGGCAAGTTTTAAGCATATCTGGGTTTTAAAATTTAAAAGTCTTCATTTTTCTTTAAAATATTTGTTTGATGATTTTAGTAATTTCCAAAATTTGTTAAATATATTAAGAATTTATTCATCATTTACATTTTCATTACTAACATGTAAGGTAAGGATGCCAATTAAGGCCACGTTAAGGTTTAAATGTCTGTAATATTTTATTCAGCAAAAATATGGGGGGAAAAGTCTTGTATACGTATTGCCTAACATTTTAGCTATCGAATTTTACGAGAAAATACTTAATAAATAAATATAAAATTTTAACATTCAATAAATCTTGAATATTTGGCCTTATTTGGAACTGGTAACTTAATAAGGCCAGTTTCATTTTTGAAGGAAATTTACGTGGCTAAGAAATTTTAAACCTAAGAATTAAAGAATAAATTTAAAGTTAGTGAAATAAACGTTTACTCATATTAAAAACAAAAACTTGCCAATACATTAAGTACATATATCGCACATTTACGAGAACATACAAATATATTTCTTGTCGTTTTTTGTTAATCCTATACATTCCTGTGGATATACTTATTACAACAAACACACTTGCGCATATCAGCCACTCTATCTTCATCACACAAGAAACAGTACCATGAATCTTTTTTTAAATTCGGTTTTGGTTTTGCTGAGCTATAAGATTGTGCACTAAATAAATCTCTGGTAACTTCTTGTGCTTTCGCATTAATGGCCTGCCGACGTTTTTTTGTTGATACTTTTAACTCCGGTGTAATCAGTAATCCACTGGAACTAAAACTTGCATTTAGTTCTTCACATGGCTCTGTCTCACTTATTTTTGCAACTTTATTTTTATCATATTTATTTGACGTATAAACTGCATCACTATAATCCTCGCTGGAAGCTTTACCACTTGTGTAAGACCCAGATGAGTCACTGTCTTCATCTGAGATTAAGTATGAAAAACTTTGGTGGGTTCTTTTTTTTTTGGTAATTTTCCTTTTCTCACTGCTCGATAATGCTTTGCTTTTATTATATTTGTTTACACCGCTGCAGGATAGCTGTTCTTCAAAATTTGTATTCTTTTTGAAAGTTGTTTTTAATTACTGGTTGGGTTGTAGGATTTTCTTGAAAATTTTCGGCGATTGTTTCACTCTCTCGTTGTGTCAGACAACTAGGTGCAAAGGCAGCATCCGGAATAGCATTTGGATTGAATGGCCATATTCCAGTTGCTTCAAATTTAGAACAAATATTTTTTTGTGTCATTGCGTTTTTCCAAACCGGTGTAAATATTTGCCCAAATCTTGCTCGGTTAATGGTACGTTCGTTATTATGGTTCACCCAAAAATTTAACACCTCCTCATCCTGGTAAGGTTCAAAACTTCTGAAGACTGCTTTATCGAGTGGTTGAAGCTCATGGGTGGTGTTGCACGGTAGACAAGAGTTACATCTTTTTTTATTGCAGCTTCTACAATTCTAATATCTAAATAAGATGAAGCTCCATCAAAAATTAAAAAGAGGATTTTTGAATCGACAGTAGTGATCTAACCACTATATAAATGCATCTGCTGTCATGCTTCCTTTCTTGGTCATTTTAATGGTTGTTTCTGCTGGAAGATTACAATAACATTCTGGTTTAACTCGTTGCCCTTTCATAATGATAAGTGGCGGAATGCTGTTGCCGTTGCCACATGTCACGATTGTTATATTTTTGCCGTACTCTGGTGCAATGATATCCACCCTTTTAGCACCTTTACTAGCCAATACAGTTTGTTGGTGATGCAGTGTAAGCTGGCATCCTTTTTCGTCCATGTTGTCAATTTGAGCAGGTTTCTATGCGAAGTCTGTCGAATATTAAATGTAAGTGCTGCCTGATGAACAGCCATGCCATTTCGTATGGCATTCATTGCAACTTCAATGGCCTCTTCGGTCCACTGTGCCCTTTTCCTGGTGTACATATCTGCAAAGAAAAAATAGTTTAAACGATTATGTGAACAAATTGTTTATAATGTCAACCAGCTCTTATCAACCAATCAATTGGCCTTATTAGGGCACTGTTTACTTTTCTATTTAACATAAAAAACAATAATAAAAAGCAATATAGCGAAAAAAACAGTAGCAGTTTCTAAAAGAGTATTAATTTTCTACTGCTTTCCAAAGAAATAATATTTGGTATATATTATTTAAGTAACTTTATAGTGATTTTATAACTTACCTAAAATTTATAACCGAACTTCGGCACCGCAGTAAACACGTGTCTACTATACTTCGCGCTGCTGTTTGATACTACCGACTGAATGGCGTAGACGATTTTGACTGAAAAAACGATTTACAGTGACATATAGTATTATCTATATTTAAGGAAATAGTTACAATTGGCCTTATTTGGCGTCACTACCTATTTATCAATAATTTTGATTAACATTATATTCTAAAAAACAACTTGTTTTGTGATGAATAGAATAAGAAATAATAATTTAATAGGTATCTTCAAAATTTTAATAATCTTTATTTTTTTAACAATTTTAATAAATAAAATAAATTTAATGTAATTCCAGTCCTATCGAGACATTGCCATATCTAAAAAAAAAGAGACAAGTATAAAGTAATAAAAATTAAACAATTTAAAAAATACTGGGGCAATGACAAAAAATAGATTTTCGGTAAGTTGATTGGATTTATAAATTGTTTGTTCTATATATAAACAGATTGGAATCCATAAAAACATTTTTGATCTTTGTAATAAAAGACATCCTAAACTTTAATTATAGTTAAAAAATAATAAAAACCTAAAATATGAACTTTTTACTAAGCAATTCTTCAATTTTCTCTATTTCTGTTTCTTAAAATTCCGATTTAAGACAAAAGCTTTTGATTTCCCGTACCAAAACCAAAAGCAGGTAGGTTTTCATTTTATAGGTCTACAATAACTAAAAAAGTTGTCAGCTACCTGGATTATTGAGTGTCACGAGAAAATCCTTATTACCCTGGACTAATATGACTGGACAAGCAAGTGACGAAAGTTTAATTAATTTTGATTTAATAACCACATTACAACGAAATTTGCAACATTGGTAGGAAATTTTAATAAAAGTTGTTTGGAAGCTGACCTTCCGTGATGTCAAGGTGTAGAATAATACATATTGGCTGACTTAAAATAAAGATGACGGTAGTAAGAACAATAGAAGTCCAGATAAAGTCGAAGTAGAATTATTCCAAGAAGTAATAAAATTAAGAGAAGAAGAGGAAGACGTAAATTTTTGTGTTATATGTTGTTTCAAAGTTGTTGTGTCGAACAGTGAACAACCTCATATGCAGTTTCATATTAAATACTTGAGAAATCTGCTTAAAACAAATATCACAATTGTTTTTTATTCACCATGCATCGTGAAATGTATTTTCGAGAACACTGCTTACAACAAAATTTCATACATTTAAGCGTTGTCTTAAGTGTGCACTCTCAAGTGTGTTCTCAAATGATCTGCTACACCAAACTGTTTAAAACATCTTTCACACTCGTACAGTTTTTCTAAAGTGTGTGCCCTCAAATGTCTGTTCAAATCAATAATAGTAATAAACTGTTTTAAACAAATTTCACACTTCAATGGTTTTTATCCAGTATGCACTCCCAAATGTCTTTTTAAATTACTTGCTTCACTAAACTGTTTAAAACAAATTTCACACTTGTGAGGTTTTTCTCCAGCGTGCTCTCTCAAATGTCTTTTTAAATGACTTGATTTACTAAACTGTTTAAAACAATTTTCACACTTGTGAGGATTTTCTGCAGTATGTACTCCCAAATGTCTTTTTAAAAGACTTTCTTCACTAAACTGTTTAAAACAAATTTCACACTTGTACAGTTTTTCTCCACTGTGCGCTCTCAAATGTCTTTTTAAATTACTTGCTTCACTAAACTGCTTAAAACAAATTTCACACTTGTGAGGTTTTTCTCCAGTATGCACTCCCAAATGTCTTTTTAAATGACCTGCTTCACTAAACTGTTTCAAACAAATTTCACACTTGTGAGGTTTTTCTCCAGTATGTGTTCTCAAATGACTTTTCAAAGCACTTATACAAATAAATTGCTTTAAACAAATTTCGCACTTGTAGGGTTTCTCCCCAGTGTGAACTCTCAAATGCACTGTCAATGTATATATTTTACTAAACCGTTTAAAACAAGTTTCACACTTGTATGGTTTTTCTCCAGTGTGCACTCTCAAATGTATTTTCAACTCACTTTTAGTAGTAAACAGTTTTAAACAAGTTTCACATTTGTATGGTTTTTCTCCAGTACGAAGTCTCAAATGTATTTTCAACTCACTTTTAGTAGTAAAGAGCTTTAAACAATTTTCACACTTATATGGTTTTTCTCCAGTGTGTATTCTCAAATGTCTTTTCAAATCAATTGCTTGAATGAACTGCTTAAAACAAATTTCGCAATTGTACAGTTTTTCTCCAGTGTGTATTCTCAGATGTCTTCTCAAATTTCTTGTACTAACAAACTGCTTTAAACAAATTTCACACTTGCAAGGTATTTTTCCAGTCCCAACTTTCATATTTTTTAGTATTTCTCCTTTACCATGTTGACCTGTATATTTTTCTTGAGATGAATGTAACACGTCCATAACTTTTGGTTTTTTTTTCTTCTGCCGACTACCTAAAATACAAACCAACTATAAACATTTTACTGGAGCAAAAAATTTATTGCCGAAATAAAGGAGTATAATAAATAAAGTAAAATTGGAGCCCAAATTAATCAAATTATTCCTCCTTTTAATCTTATTCTTTACTAATTAAGGTAAAGGCACCAATAGTGGACACTATAAAGAAAATGCAACATTCATTCTTGAATGATGTACTCATTCATGGGTCACCAATTCTTGCCTTTACTCATGCGCAAAAATTCCACTACATCCATTTATAAATTGAAAAAATATTTACAGTCTGTTTCTTATGTCTCCAGTGCATCTATGTCTACGCAGTACATCAAACTATAAATCCAGCTTAACTACCTTAGTAACTTCTACATATATTTAAACAACAAAACAGAACAAAAAGAAAGTTTACAAGGAACAATGAAATTTAAGTAATATTTACTAGCTTTACTTGAATACAAGTTGTGAAAAAAGTACTACATACTAGCACTAATCTTCATAGCTTGTTTTCTATCTGTATTTTTAAAATTTAAATAACATATTTTTTAAAATTGAATAAAGTAATTTTATTATTAATATTTTAAACAAATTTAATAAATTATTATGTTTGCTTCTCATACCACCTGTTAACATATTACTTAACAAAGCAAAAATTGTTTACTTCTAACATACCTGTCAAATTCAAGCCAAATATTAAATTATCGAATTGAATCTCTTAGGGCCCATTGTTCCAAAGCTAATCAAAACTTGATTGTAATCACAAATTTAATTACAATCAAATACCTCACAACAGCTGTCAAAATTATTAAAAGTTGCTTATTATTATTTATTTGTAAATAAAAATATGAAATTAACATCAGCAAGAGTTTAATTATGGTTTATTTTAAATTAGAACGCAAAAAATAAAATTAAATAAAATAAATCAAAATGTGAGGCATTTGATTTTAATTAAATATATGATTACAATCAAGTATTGATTAGCGTTCCAACAATTTGCCCTTAGTGAGAGGTATTCTTTTAATTTATTGCTTATATATCACAGGTGAAAATAAGTCAATTTGCTCTAACTTACCTAGATTAAAAAGGGTACCTATAAAAAGTTACAGGTGTGTTAAAGTTACAAAATAAAACCTAATTTTTTAATATCACTCTAAAACGGTTTAAATTTTTTTTATGATAATGTATATTATGTGTTAGCATGGCATGGCCAATTAAACTGAAGTTGCAAAAATATTTTTTCTTAAATTTCTCTAAGAATTTAGAAAAATCTTAATTGATTATTCTAAAAACAAATACTGAGTCCCGTTAGTAATACAATATTAAGATCGTGGCATACCTATTATCATACACACTTTGCGTTTCCAGCCCATAGCGTTTAGTTTCCGAAAAATATCATTTAAATGGTTTTCAATATGAACAATTCACACTGTCCGGAAGGTATCGTTACAGACCCCTAACGTTTCCGTTCAGTATATTCGAAAACAATATTTTACTGATGCCGACGGCTGCGCAACGGGTCGTAACCGGTTGCTACAGATAATGTGAATTAGGGGTCCGTCGTTTTCTTCCGTTGTTTATTTAGGATTTGTTTGATTTTGATATAGATAATTTAAAAAAATAATTTTCGAGTCTATTTTGTCATTTATGCATGTGTTTTCATTGCTTTGTGACAATTAATCACGGAAGTGATTAACAATTAGGACTTTTGCAAGGAAGTGATATCTCTTCTTTTTTAAAAATACTCTTTGGTTTGATATGTATGGCTTCGTTACATGTAGTATTTTGTTTGATAACTAAAGGTGTAATTAAATTTAAAATATGTTTAAACTAAATCCTATTCATTCTAAAATATCCATAATATTTCCAATATATCTAATATATCCATCGTCATCAATTAATTCTTTGTATAGAGTCCAGTATTCACCTTCCTTTCTCTTAGCATTGGATGTACTTCAAACCTTCTTTTTACTACAGTTTTTCTTTCTTCATCGTTAAGTAGAAGAGCAATTGCAATTGGAGAACATATCTTCACCGCACCCAACTGAAACATCCTATGTATGAAAATGTGAATGCAGTGAGACAGTTTTGTTTCTATTGTGTTTTTGACGTAAATAGGCATTTAAACCGTAGTTAAAGAATTAAATTTAATTTGTGAAATTTTCGACTTTTACTTGTAGAAATATGATTTTTGTCTCACTGTGGACCGCCCTCCTCTAAATTGAAAGTAAAAAATTACTGAAGCTTGGGACACAATTTCCCTAGTACACAAGAAAGTTGATCGCATTAATGCCTAGATGACTGCAGGCTGTAACTGATAATGAAGGAGCGCCTACAAAATATGTAATAGCAATCATTTTTCAATGCGTCGAGTTTGTTTTCTTTATCAATTTTCTTGCGCCAAATCTTCACCGCCAAAACATGCAACGGAATACATCCAGTGATGGTCCATAAGGCTGCCGCAGACACAGTCCTATAGGCGCATGCCACTCGCAACAGACTTGTTCTGTCTACTCGTTTCATAAGACTCCTATAGGCTATCTCTACCGCCTCGCTCCAGACTGGTGCCGCGTAGAGGACGATAGACTGTACAATACCGTGTAAGACCCTCCTCCTTTCGGATTTGGGTCCTCCAATGTTCGGCATCACTCTCCCCAACGCAGCCGCACTATTCGCAGCCTTTCGGACCACCTCCCGAACGTGCTCCCCCCATTTTCCATTCTGGTGTAATGTCACTCCTAGGTACTTCACTTGTTTCTTGGGTGTTAGACATACTCCCGCACATCTTAATTCAACACCTTGCCTGTTCCTTGTCCCCTTCAGAATGATGGCTTCGGTTTTTTCTGTCGCAAGTTTTAGTCCGTGCTGCGTCATCCATTTCTTTACGACGCCACCTGCGTTCCGAACCCGGTATTTGAGATCTGGCTC